CATCCAGATACTTTTTGACTGCAGTTTGATGAGTATTACGATATTTTATTGCCGTCTGAATCCAGAATGTCAGTGTTTTTCTCCCACCACACGTATATTTCCCTGACTGAATTACCTGCTGTTTTTTGAACAAACAAAAAGGTCATGTGGTAATTTCACTGCCGTCCGAATCCACATCCGAGTTTACAAGAAGGGATCAATTCAAAATTCACTGTTTAAATTATTTTTGACCACTGCCGGGCACCATACGATAACGGTTGCGCTTCGCTGTAATTTGCATGCATTTTAAATATCTACACTTTTATTACGGAAAGTGTTTAGAACAATATTCCATCACAGCGTGTGGGAGCTGTTAAAAACAAAAAGAAAGAAAAAAAAGCATGTAAACATATTAATGCACCAAAACACCTGTAATACAAAATGTATGTATACATGAATGAATGAATGTATGTTTGTATTTATTTATTTATTTATCTATTAATTAATTAATTCATTTATTTATTCATTCATTCATTTTCATGGACACATTATATAATCTCTTTGACCCTCAAATGGAATATCAGTGTCATTAACGCCGGTGTAAGTCCCTCGATCGTCCACCAGAGGTCTCACTCCCCAGAGTATTGACTATTGGACTACGGTTCCCAGGAAGCCTCATACCTGGACTAATTTCCGCTCACCTGATCCTTGCACTCAGACTATTTAAACCCCGTGTTTTGTTCTCTCTTCGCGAAGTCTTGTTTATTGTGTATCCTGTGTCTTGCCTGTGTATCGACCCTGTCTGGACTTTTACTTCATGACCCTAGCTGCCTGCCCTAGTCTGTTGTGGACTGGACTTCTGTTTGTACTTTGAGACTGCTTGCACTAAATAAACCACACATGGATCCCACTTAACCGGAGTCTATGTTACAATCAGGCTGAAACGATTAGGGATCTTGATGATGACTCATACACTCTTCAAAATAAAGGTGCTTCACGATGCCATAGAAGAACCTTTTTGTCTAAATGGTTCCATAAAAAACCTTTAACATCTGAAGAACCTTTCTGTTTCACAAAAGCTTCTTTGTGGCGAAAGAAGGTTCTTCAGATTATAAAGAGGTAAGAAAGAGATGGTTCTTTAAAGAACCTTTGTCTGAATGGTTCTTCTATGGCATGTTGTCTACTGTTTGAGCAAAGTCATGTTTGTCTGCGTTGTGATCAGTATTGTGGTCACAGGCCTGTTCTCCTGCTGACTCTTACTGAATCTAAATGAACAATAGCTGCTCACCCTTTAGCAGACGCTTGAAAACAGCTGTGGGTCCTGTGCAGCCGCCAGACAAACACACACACACTCTTTATTCACTCTCAGAGCAGAGCCTGGCACGAGCCTGCAGGACCTTACACTCCTCTCTTCTGTCTGTCCATCCATCCAGGGTCCCACGGGGTCATTTAGGGGCTTTGAGTTCTTTGTAGCAGGCTGTTCTCTCAGCCAATTAGTCATAGCAGGGAAGAATATCAACTCTAGCTGGAGGGGAGAGAGAAAGGCTAGTAATTGTCAATTTATATATTTTTATTCCTTATTTACTTGTTCTATTTTTTATTATCTGTGTTTTTTGTTCTGTCACTGTCATTCTGTTACACTGTGGAAGCTTCTGTCACGAAAACAAATTCCTCGTATGTGTAAACATACCTGGCAATAAAGCTCATTCTGATTCTGATTCTGATTCTGAATGGTTCTTTGTGGAACCAAAAATGGTTCTTCTGGCATCGCTGTGAAGAACCGTGTGAAGCACCTTTATTTTAAGAGTGTATGTGAAATCTATCAGCCGGGAGCTACACAATGTTTGACAGATTTTACACTCTTATTGTCAATTACCGGTATATACAAAAATTGATTAATAGTATTATTTTTCTGATGTTTAGAATGATCCCTTTTATTATGTTAAAGGAAAGAAAATCTTTGTACAATCTTTACTGGGCGGGCCAAATGTGTAATTCTCTAAAAATCACACTATATAAATCTAAACAAAAATCTGCTAAAAACAGTAAACCTTTACCAGTTCTCTCATATTACAAAATAAATAAAAAATAAATGAGAGCATGTGATTTTTTAAAAAACTGTATTTAACTTTTTTTATTTTGCACCAATTGCAATTTATATTAACAGTATTTTAAGTCATTTTTAAAGCATGTTTAAGAAAGCATTTTAAAAGGAAGAAATGTGCGAAAGCACTTTTTCTATGAGCTTTCGTGAAACCCAAACGGTAAGAGCACGGCGCTTGCAACATCCTAATCATGGGTTCGATTTTCAGCCAAACTGTATGGCAAAAATGTACACCATCAGATTTCCCTGAATAAAAGAATCCGCCAAATGCATGAATGTAAATGTAAACACCCTTAGAGGGTAGTTGAGAATCTGAAATAACAAAATACATTAAAAATGTTTTTATTTTGGGTCTATTATGAACATCATAATCACAATAGAGATTTTGTACACACATTCCACAATATATTTGAGTGGCACACTTTGTAGACATGTTCATGGCCCTAAATAAGAAAAAGTCACAAAACCCCATAACCAGCATTTATAGAAAAACCATCTCAAATTGACCCACAACATATTATGAGGGTTTAAAATATCTATAATTGCCTCAATGTGTGCAAATCTGCTTTGAAAGAGTATGTTTTGTGAAAAACTCTAAACAAATTAAACAACTTTAAGAAATAAATTTGTTAGCATTGTGGGTATGTTATCTTATATGAATATTAAATATTTTGCAAATTTTTTTATGTTCAGAAAACGTCGGCCGCTCTTAACATGATATGCAGCATAAATGGAAACAATCAGTTGATCATGACACTTTTTAAGTGATTACACCTCGGCTAATTGTTAGTTAGCACAATAAAAGCCTGACAACGCTAAATGTGTTCAGTTCTCCAGTTTTCTGATAATATAATTCACATATTAAAGTGTGTGTATAGGCTATATATGCACTCTAAACAAAAATGGTGCTTAACAGCATTAAAGGTACAGTAGTTCATTGGCTTGTAATCATAGGAGAACCACTTTAAGTGGTACAGAGCACCGACTTTAAAGCTACAGCGCCGTCATCAATGTAGAACCATAAGAGGAACCCAATTCTCCTCCTTAGATTTTAGAGATGTCTCTCCACTCTCATCTGTTTGCTATAAATGGTAATTTATTTACTACACTTTTGAATCACTTTTATGCTCTTCTGAGGTCAAAAAGTCTCATGTGGGGCCCTGGAATGTTTCCTTATGGGGCCTTGGGGACAAAAAGGTTGAGAATCACGTTATCTTCAGGAAATATAATAGAGAACCTTTAAAGAACTATACAGGGGCTTAACGGGTACTTTGTATGGCAGTGGTGCTATAGAGCCTCAACAAGATATATATATATATATATAGCCTAACCCAAAACATCATCAGATTTTGAGTAGACAAAAGTAGAACCCAATCAAACAAATGAGACAAAAATATTTTCTTTGTCATTTATTTATTGAGAAAAAATGATCCAGTGTTACATTTCTGTGAGTGGCAAAAGTATGTGAATCTTTGCTTTCAGTATCTGGTGTTGACCCCATTTTGCAGCAATAACTGAAGCTAAAGTGAAAGTCTGTCAGTGCGTGAGTTCCGTGCCCAATCAAACAAATGAGACAAAAATATTTTCTTTGTCATTTATTTATTGAGAAAAAATGATCCAGTGTTACATTTCTGTGAGTGGCAAAAGTATGTGAATCTTTGCTTTCAGTATCTGGTGTTGACCCCATTTTGCAGCAATAACTGAAGCTAAATTTAAAGTCTGTCAGTGCGTGAGTTCCGTGCATCTAATACGCACTGCATTCCAAACAGCATCAATGAAAAGTCTAAAGAAAAACACTGAAACAACGGCGGGTGGAAGCAATGCGCACGCGTCTCTCGCGCACATCCTGTGCAATGAAGCCCGCGAGCGCACATGTGCCATTATATGCTCAGAATCGTTGAAGAGAGAATCGCGACGCATCAGAGAATCGATATTTTCTCCCACCCCTTATATATATATATATATGAGATTAGCAGTGGACTCAAACACGCAAAGTGAAGAAGTCACGTGAATGGAAAGAAAGTGAAAGTGTGTTGGACTTGAAGCATCGATCAGTCTCGCGGTACTTTGAAGAGAAACTGATCGACCACTGAACCTCTCAGATTCAGTATCGCTACACTTACAGAGATTCGCGATGTTTTGACGCCAGAACATGCAGAGCGTTTACAATGTAAGTGTTCATGCTTTTTGTGTATTTTGTGTGCTGTTATACCAATAGTTGTGATTCTGTTTGTGGGAAAACTAAACCCTAAATGAGTGAAGTAAAGTGATGAGGAGTCACCGTGTCAATGCTGATATCATTTATTAAACCAAAAATTATGATTACTTGTGCGATATTTCTTATTGGGATTTTTTATCAGTACAGCCGACATTGAAAGTAATGGAGTCGGCTGTATCGTGGTCTTGTCTGTCTGTCACATTACAGCTCTTCTGTTTGATCATCAGGT